AGTGGAGACATTAAGAGAGGCACATAAGAAACCATTTTCTCAGAAGCTACAATTACTGGAGTTAGAAGCATAGAATGAATAATAAGACCAAAGAAAATTATACAGAGGTAGCCCACCAGTGAGTTCGCAAAAACCAATGAACCCAGGACGTCAGGAGGTCACTTCCTTTGGCCCTCTGGGTCCCTGGCTTGTCCTGAGGAGGGCCTTCATGTTGGATTTTTGTCCATGCCACAGGGCCTCAGCATCTCAGTGCTTGCGGTCACCAATACTAAGGTACTGCCAGGGATTCTTAGGGAAAAACAGCAAAAGACTGAACTCTGGATACTCAAGGTTCTCTGGGAGGCTAAGCCACCCTCCCCACATAGTTTCTCCTTCCCCTTGGAAGATGAGCCTTAAACATCATAAACTATTTTGAGAATCACTGCAAGATCAAAACCCCTGAACTTTCTAACAGCCTCACCCAGATCTTGTCTAACTGGCTCCAGCTAGATCCCATCCAAGTTCAAATGACTGACTCTGCAAGTATCCATTTTAGTGATTCAGTGAATGACCCAGATAGCTATTTGGACATCTGACTAGCCTACCACAGGGTTCTGACACTCTGGGAACTGTAAATATTCCTATAAGTGCCAGGTGCACTTGGTAATCTGCCCTATTCACTAGGGCAGAGGAACTTGGGGGTTAAATTGAATTAATTTTCAGATGAGTTTGATGTTAATAAACAATTATAAGCATCTACTCCATGCCTAGCATACAGCTAGGACCTAGGGATTCAGAGGTGCAACCCGTCTCTGACCTCTAGAAACTCATATTATAGAAGGAATCAGATGAATACAAGTAAAAACAAGCATAAGGCACAGTAGAGACACAAAAATAGATGTAACTTGGAGGAGGGGTCACCTCTAAGCACAATTACTACAGAGAAGATGACAGTTAAACTCAGAATTAAAGCAAGATATTGCTGGGCAGACAAAGCTAAGAAAGGGATTTCAGGCAGAGGAAACAAAGAGAACAAATGTAATGAAAGCAGGAAATAGCATGAAGTGTTGCAGGATTAGCAAGTATTTGAGTCTATTTCCAAAGTGCGCTGGGGCCAACTGCCACATCTGACAATCGGCTATTCTCCGTGACCCACACAGAGAGATTAAACCCGAGTAGGGGTGACAGGAGATTAGAAATAAAAGGAAGACACAAGTGAAATAAGAAAAGTTGAGACCAGGTGGGACACAGCACTCTGATGGAGATACTGTGGCACAAACCAAGACAGCAAGTTTATTTTATACACAGCTCAAGGGGAGGTGTTTAAGGTAGGGTAAGGAGTACAAGAATATCTTGTACTGAAGGAGCCAGCAGTAAGCGTAACTTTATCAGAAAAACTATTACTTGTGGTAGCTAGCCAGAACACTGATTAGGGAGGTTAGAATGTTGTGCAGGCTGTGCCAAAGGACATAGCTAAATACAAGAAAAGACTTTGCAAGTTCCCTGTCCCCTGAGGCAGCCCTGTAAATTCCTCGGGAGGGGGGTGGCAGCTTGACTTGGATGCAGCCCAAGTTTCTGGACCACAACTGTTCAGTTGCAATCCTTCAGTTAACCTACACCCAAGTCAGGGACTTTCGACTCAGCTGTTCCCAACAAAAGTGTAGTTGCCATGAGAAGTTCAGAGAGAAATGGGGTCAAGGAGGTAGGCAGGACACCAGCTTCAAGGCCTGGCACAAAATTACCCATCAGGGTCAGCACCCTGGGTGAGGGAAGTTTTGTTGATGTTGTTAAGTGCTGTCGAGTTGGTTCCGACTCATAGTGATCCTGTATAGGGTTTCTGAGGAGCATTTGCTGAATTTGAACTGCTGGCCTTGTGGGTCAAACCTGTGGAACTGATTCCAGACTGGGATATTGCAAGAATGGTGTGAATTATGAAAAGATCAAAGTAGAGATAAGTTTTAGTTGTGCATCATGGGAAATAGACTCAAAGAAGGAGGTGATACCAGTAAAGGCTGACAGGAAGAGAGAAAAAGAGGCTTAGTGACCAGAGTTCCTGATATGTTGGAAAACTAAGGGGGATGGAAGTGAGGGAGAGAAGGACAAGAAGACTAAGTAGAGATGGTTAGAGAGGACAATGTCACAGGGGAGCAGTGCTGACTTGTGTGGCAAAGCCCCGAGTGAAAGGGGACCCAAATAGAGAGGAGGAACAGAAGAGTAGGGACTTGATATTTAATTAGTTGGTTGGTGCTTAGTTTGTTCATTACTAAAGGTGTTGGTGTGTTAGAGAGAAATTGCAGGTCCGTTAAAAGACAGGTGTGACCAGTAGATTTTGACTAGATGACATGAACCCCAAGAAGAGGGTATAGAGGACATAGCATTGGGAACAGAAGTGAATACTGACATCTCTTGCTTCCTGCCTCTTTTAGGCTTGAGCATGGCCAGAGTGAGCAGCCTCAACCTCCCCAGGGAAGATGCCACAAGAGGACTGGCGTCCTTCAGAGAAAGCCAACTCTGAGAAGGCAGTCCCTGTGCCATGTTGGTTTCTGTGTCCTCACTGACCAGCATGTGACCAAGTAGAGGATCCCCACTGGGTATTTACTTCTCCTTTTCCAATTTATCTGACCAAAAGACTAGGTTGCTTTTCAAGAGTCACACTCAGGAAGGACTCCTTCCAACACCCATAAGTAAAGACGTAACTTATGTGAGTCCTGTCCTTTCACCTGCTTCCTTGGGCCTTCCCCACTAGACGACAAGCTTGTCAAATCTTGACTATCTCCACAGAGCACAATTCTTACACCTCAATGAGGAGCACCTCAGAGAAGAATCTCTTTTATTCTCCAGTGAGTGTGTGTGTGTACACGCGTACAGACTCTTAAGTCTCCTAAGAATAAGCACAAGCAAATATATCCAAGGGCTTGCAGAGGCGGAGCTGGTTCTCAGAACTCTGCCACTTCTTCCCATTCATGACAATGATCAATAAAGAAAAAGCCTTCTGGCCCTCAGGCTCAAGGGCAAGACATGCCTTTGGTCCAGGATGTACTTTTGGCCTGAGAGAAGTAATCGGAAGACCCCATGGCCCTGAGGAGCAACTACAGTGAGGGGCTGAGAGATGACGCATCTCTTCCTTCTCCCATCTCTTTCCAAAACAGCTAGATGAGTGATGGGCATCACAGTGCTACACCTGAGAAACCTCTCTCCCAACACACTCAAGCATAGATAGGCACCATGTGGGAGACAAAGAGACACTCTAGGATCCCAATTCCACACTGGGGGGAGGGGGGCAAGAGCATAAATGTGGGTGTGCCAGCAGTTGGGCTACTGGGGCCTGAGAAGCAGAGGTGGATCTGGGTTAAGACTAGGGATGTCTCTCTAGAGTAAATGTCAACTGGGTTGAACCGCCTTGTGGAAAGTGTACAAAGCTGAGAACCAATACTTGTCCATTTGTCATCTCATACTACCATAATAGAAGGAGGAAGGAATGCAAGTATCAGTTGGAAGAAGACACTGTATTGTTTATTGGGGTCTCTGGAGTCCTCTGGGCTGGGCTGGATCACTGACTTTCCCCTGAATAGGGCTGCACACCATGACTCTCCCAATAAGGAGAGGAACTCAGAAAATTCAATCCTGTTATCTCCATTCTTGTCCTTTTTCTCAAAGACGTTGGCCAATCTTCAGACATGCCAGGCACCATGGAATCTGTCCACCCAGTCCTTCCCCTCTTCATACATACACACAATTTCTCCCTGCACCAGACAAGTCAGAACCCCACTCACACAGGCCCTAAGGAAGTAGGGGAAGTTCTCCTTCATCACCTTCCTTGTGTTTGCCTTATTGTATCATCTTTCTCCGTGTAACCATGACATAGGCTGACCAAACCCATTGTGGACTTCTCAGCTGGAGTGCTGCTCATCTTGGCTTTCAAACAGGCTTCAGGGAAGAAAAACAATAAGAAGTTATCTTTTTATCCCAAGATGAAAGTCTGTAGAAAAGAAATCAGTGAGAATAAGAATAAGATTGGGAGATTTTAAGAAAGGAGACTGAAAAACGAGTGAGCAATGGACAAAGACAATACAAGCAGCCTGTCTTTTCTCAAGTAGTGAGGTAAATTGGTCTCTGAAAACAGACTTGGGGGACTTTGGAAGGGGAACAACACAGATTTGGGATGTAGTTAGTGAGAGATGGGGGACTGAGCTACAGTGGGTTAAACTAGAACAGCAGCTGGCTTGGCTTAGGAACATGGCCACAAAAGAAGCATCAAATCAATAGGGGAGACTTTCCCACCAAGCATAACTTTTGTTCTACCACATCCACCAATCTAGGATCCTGTAGGTGTGGATTTGAACAAAAAAAATCACCGAAAGCACAGTACAGTGATTTCCTGAACTACTGCCTGGAGGAGAGAGAGGATATGGAAGAGAGTTAGCTTCTAAGTTTTTGTTTTTTGTTTTTTTTTAAGGTTTTTATTGTGGATTGAGTGAAAGTTTACAGGGCACATCATCAGTTTCACATTCAACAATTCATATAACTTGTTTCATTACATTG